TCAGTCTGTTTTTCGTTGTTTCTTTTGTTTTCCTTTATTATAATTCCATCTTAGTTTGTTCTGTTTGGCATTTTCTTGTTAGGAAGGCTTTCTGAAATTTAAATGTTCCCAACAATGCTCACAGGTTACATCTTTGCTGTCTTCGCGCCAATTTAGTATTATGAGGATTCCTGTCAGGGATATCTCTGAGAACCTTACTAAAGGTTAGAAACCCGTTGAGCTTTGAGGGGAGTTCTATAAATTCATGGATCAACACATGATTGTGACCTCTTATGCTATCCGCAAATCAATAGATGCTTGAATCCTTCTAGATTACTAATCTCTGCTGTTTCTACTATAATCTTCAATGAGTTTTTTTCTTGTTAGGTGCCAGCAAGCCATATGAGGCTATCTTTGTATCCTCCAAGACTCAGAGTCGTAACGTGTGTGATCCGCTGATTGTAGTCCTTCATGGGGGTCCTCATTCTGTTTCATTGTCAAGCTTCTCAAAGTCCTTGGCTTTCCTTTCTTCACTTGGTTATAGCTTGTTGATTGTAAATTATAGGTAACCAACATAACTGACTTCTTTCTTCATGCCTCTATTAATTCAAATGGTTATTGAAATATAACACCAACTGTGAAATACTAGTAATGTATATGAGATGCTACACTAATATTATAGGTCGTGCATATATATTGGACATCTGTATATATATATATATTTTAGATATAAAATCTCTGAATATCTCATTTGCTGTATTTTATTTTTTGGGTAAGGAGCAGTAATTGCTTTGAATTTTGATTAAGCACTTTTTTATTTAATCTCCTTCTCACAGAGGCTCCTTGGGTTTTGGGGAGGACGCAGTACAATCTCTTCCTGGGAAAATTGGATCACAGGTACTAGTTTGCCGTCTTTTCGTTTTCTTTCCCTTGAAAAGATTTCTTCCTTAATTTTGTTTAGGCTTGAATGGTTTTGTTATATGAAATACAATTCCTTCTTTTTCATAATAATTCTATTAAGCAATTGGAACCTAAGAGTGTTCTTCCTCTTTTTTCCCTAATCTGCAGGATGTTAATGATGTGCTTGCTGCTATAGATCATGTCATTGAAAAGGGACTTGCAGATCCATCTAAAATATCTGTGCTCGGCGGTTCCCATGGTGGATTTTTGACAACTCATTTGATTGGCCAGGTCTACCAACTTCCTAATATGCCACCGTCTTTATGGTTGCTATGTACCCATTTTTCTCAACTTTTGGTCCTTCAAGGCTTTGTTCAACAAATATTTGTGGCCCTTAATAAGGGAAGCTGGACAAGCTTGTCTTTCTTAACGACTATTGCTTGACAGTTCTGCTACTATTTCTGCAGGCACCAGATAAGTTTGCAGCAGCAGTTGCAAGGAACCCTGTCTGCAACCTCGCTTTGATGGTCGGTACATCGGATATACCTGATTGGTGCTACGCAGAGACATTTGGAGAAAAGGGAAAAACAAATTTTACAGAGGCTACTTCATCTGAACACCTTGACGCCTTTTACAGAAAATCACCAATTTTACACGTATCCAAGGTATGCACCTCTATTAAATCTGGATTCGACAGTCATTCCATTTTAAGCAATATGTCTTTCTGTTAGTTCTCTAGAAAGGCCTATGTTTAAATTGCAGAATAGACTGAAGTTATAAGTCATGCTAGATTTCAAGGATCACAGATCCTGTTACAATCAAACCTCTGTATATTGGTGTCATTTGTGCGGATATTTTTTTGGCTGCTATAGAGAACTACTGTTATAGCAAACATATAATATAACATAACATTACCTGATACCTGTTGTTGGTGGGAGGTGACAAGTATCCCATGGAATTAGTCGAGGTGTGCGAAAGTTGGCGCGGACACCATGGTTATCAAAAATAAAAAATAGAACATAGCATGCCCTGGGTAGTGAAATGTTGTTATAAAGGATGACTGTTAGACGTGTGAATCTATTAGGAATGCATCTCTAGCATCTTATGTTTGCCAATTTTGCAGGTCAGAACTCCTACGCTTTTCTTGCTAGGTGCTAAGGACCTCCGTGTACCAATGTCTACTGGGTTGCAAGTGAGATTTCTTATAATCTATGATCTTTCTTGTTTTATTTGTTGAACATAAGGTTTCATTCTTAAATGCAAACGGTATGAGCAAGTTCACAATTATGAATATCCATCGTGATTCCATATCAGCTTTCCTAGTTGCACCTTTTATTGGTTATGTATGTCTGCTGATACATAGTCTATACTTACCTTTTGATTCTCTTTGAACAACTATGCATCCATCCATAAACAATAAAAAAGTAAAAGAAATACTGATCCATCCAGAACACGGCGATATCTTTGTGGAGGCTAATTGTTGGTTCTATTTGTAAGTCAACCTTCAAGCTTTGTATTTACTAATGAACTGTTGTATCCAATCATCTGTGGACCAAAAATGTTATGTCTGCCAATGCCAATGCCTTCTGTGAGATGAAGGTGGGTTACTTATTGTGTATACACCAATAATGCTAATATGGTCTAATGGAACCATTACATTACTATTTGTCCTGGCTTAATGACTAATGACGTTTTAACTTATGGTTTTATTTCAATACGATGTATAACTCAAGAAAGTGTATGCCTTTCACTCTTATTGTGTGCAGTATGCACGCGCGTTGAAGGAGAAAGGAGGAGTGGAAGTTAAAGTGATCATGTTCCCTGAGGACACTCATGCACTTGATAGGTAAACTGGTATCATGCTATGTTGTTCGGAATCTCCACAATGCTATTGAATCCGTGCAGATGATCCAAAAGTGCACTGACTTTTGGAAGATCCGACACAGAACCAGCAGCATTTTTGAAGCGTCCGAGAACATAAGATTTTACTTCACTTTAATGTTGTGAACTTACACATACACATCTGTTTTGCAGACCACAATCTGATTTTGAAAGCTTTCTGAACATTGGAGTGTGGTTTAGGAAGTACTGCAAATAGATTCACGTCTTAACCAAAAGTCACAATCCAACTTGAAGACGGGAGATTTGGTTTCGTAGTCCATTTATGACCCTTTTCACAGGAGATCAGTAAAAAATAAACACAGGACATGAGATTCGTGGGGTCGTTTTTTTCTATTCAAATTGTAAGTGGTCATAAGAGATCGTTTCCTTTTTAAAGACCAGACTCTTCTGATATCAGTCACTAGTCACAATGATTTATTGTACATCACAATTTACTAAATTGTTAAATTGATCTCTTTTATCTAATTCTAATGTTACAAAAAAAAAAAGGATCTTTGTGTCATAATACTTGTGCAACTCAAATTAATGATGTAAATCAAGTAAAAAATGTATGGGTTATTAATTTGGAATCCTTGTTTAAATTTATATTGTAAATGACAAGTATACAGGTTGTTAGGATGAGATAAATAAGAATATCTTATCTTTTAGTACAAATGATGGAATAAAATAATTTCGTGATTAGCTAATATCTCAAATCAATCATGAAATAAAGTTACTTTCAAATTTTATTTCGAGATTATTATCCTTATCCTACGTATCAAACAATTCCGTAATTGTGTAGCAGCGTCTAGTGGTAGAGTTCTTAATATAATTGACATAAAGAAAATGAATAATTTTTTCTTTTATTCTTCTTTAAGCCAATAAAATATAAAATAAATTAATATAAGTCTCAAAATAAAAGAAATAAAAAATAAAAGTCGCCGTCTGTGGGGATCGAACCCACGACCACGTGGTTAAAAGCCACGCGCTCTACCACTGAGCTAAGACGGCTTGTGTTTTTGTTATTTTCTTTAATTTAATAAGTTATAATGATAGTACTGTTTTTAATGACAATGATGATCGATGGCGGTGGAGATTAGGATGGTGGTGATTGATGACAGTGATGTTTATGATGGTGATGATTAGTGGTGGCGGTTACTGCAATGGTGGTAATTGGTGGTAGCAATGGTTGTGATGGCTATAAATGGTCACAGTGGTGGTCTTGATGATGCTGGTTCTGATAAAGTGAGTGGATTCAATCCCTTTCTTTTGAAAATTATATTGTGCAAATCGGATAGTAACTTCTAATACCTTATCCTTATTGAAATATAAAGACCATCACAAATATTTTAAAGTAGGTGTAAACATTGATTGTAAATAACTTTTTCTATCTTATGGAGACTAAACACTTACATATTGATTCTATCACCCTTTTGATAAAGAAGTTGAAGTGTTTTTTTTTTACAACTTTCTATACAATAGAAAGAAAGTTATTCACACTTGATGTTTATATCAACTCAATAAATAATTGTATGTATTTACATACTCTTATATTGCTTTATCATGATTAATCCTTATGTATTAATACCTTATCAAATCACTTAAGTATGATAAATTGACATAATTTGATGTAAAGAAAAAGATTGATTTGATAGTTTCAAACATATCTTTGTTCTAGCCTAAAATCATATTTCAAATTAACATAACATACTCATTTCTTATATAAAGGAACTAGCGAAAACATATTTGCAACTAAAAATCAAGAAGAGGATTTTATTTACAAAATATTATTCAAAAAAAAATAAAAAATCTTAACAACCAACAAGAACAACATGCCTATACATTCAAAAATATCAGAGAGCAAACTCATAAGAAACGTCTTCCGCTATAGTGAATTGAGCGTCAAGATCTAAAAATGAAGAAAGTCATAAGAAGCACTTCCCAATATAATGGATCAATATTAAGCTCGAAGAATGAAGAAACTCGTAGGAAACATTTCCTACTATAGTGGACTAGTGTCAAGCTCTAGGAACACCTCATAATGGATCGGTTTCAAGCTCTAAGAATGAAGAAACAAGAACTCGTAAGAAGCGCTTCCCCACTTAGTGTACCCTATGTGAGGTGAATTCATCATAAACCTCTTCTACTATACTGAACCTTAACGTAATATGAATTTAAATTAATTAAATCAAAACTAGTGAATTTTGTTACGAGTCCTCCACCTTTCCCATCAAGACTCATCATTGTACCATGAAACTACAAATATCATTCATCCCAAATTTCAATTCCTCCCATTGAGAATCATCAAATTCCAATCCTCCATTATTAACAACCTTAACTTCAACTAACAACAACTCCATTGCCACCTCCAAAATTTCCACCATAAAAACAACTCTCCCTTTAACCAACTCAATTCCCCTTCCCTTCCCTCTTTCAACTTTATACCCTCCTTCTTCTCCAATTTTCATCACCTTCTCTTCAATCTCCTCGATTCGAGCATTCGTCGTAAACTTCATCTCTCTCTTGCTCAAATCACTCTCGAATAACCTCGATAAATTCAACCCTGATGACATTGATATTATGTCAAATGCATTTATCCCGCCCAAATTTGTACGATTCTTTTCGAAAACACAATCGCTTGATTTTTGTTGTTGATTCGATTTCTTAAACCATGAAAGCTTCATTAGTTGCTCAATACTTAATCTAGTACTCGGATTTGGATCGAGTAACTTGTTAATTACACTCCGAGCTGATTTTGAAACCCAATTAGGGAATCGAAAATCGCGACGATGTATTGCACGGTACATGTTTGATAAATTGCCAGAATCAAATGGAAGATATCCAGATAGAAATGCAAATAGAATTACCCCACAAGACCATGAATCCGCCTTTTCGCCATTGTATCCCTTTCTGTATGCTACCTCTGGAGCTGTATAACCTGGTGTACCGCAAGCTGTATGAAGGAGATCGTTTTTCAGCTGTTCAGGCAAGGCGGAGAGCCCGAAATCGGAGATTTTGAGGTTGTTATTTTGATCAAGAAGAATGTTTTGAGGTTTGATGTCGCGGTGAGTAACGCCATTTTGATGGCAGTAATGGAGAGCGGAGACTAATTGATGGAAGTAGAAACGAGCAGTGGAATCAGAGAACCGCCCATGACGGATAAGCTTAGCATGGAGATCGCCTCCAGAGGCGATCTCCATGACAAGGTAGATTTTGGATTTCGTAGCCATTACTTCATTGAGTTTTATTATGTTGGGATGATTAAGACGGGACATGGCGGAGATTTCACGTATGATTCGGGGCTCCATTGAGACATCGGTGCCAATGATTGATTTTTTATCGATTACTTTGATGGCGATATTTGTGTTATCGTCTAAACAAAGGCCGTGGTAGACTTTAGCAAAGCTACCACGGCCTAAAAGACGGCCAAGTTGGTACTTGCCGAGAATGATGGTTCCGTTTCCGGCTCCACTTCCGTTGGTGCTGGTGGTTCGTCTGATTCTCATGGCGGAGGAGGGTGGTTTGGTGCATTTCGCCTCCATGCTTGCGATTGCGGATGGAGGAGGAGGAGGGGGAAAATGGGTGGTTATATAGGAGGAAATGATCACTTTGAGTGAGAGGCTTGGCTGGACCTCAGTTGTTTTACTTTACTTGGTATTCAAGTCGATCGTTACGTAAAATGAACATTTTCGTCGTTATATAATAATGAAAAATTTCAGGAATAAATTTGAATTATTTCATAATGTATCGTATTTGTGGAAAAGATAGATAGTACTTTCGTTACGTCATACACATAAGTAATAGTATTAACAAGACGAGAAGAAAAAAGTAACGAGACAATCACACTAAATTGATCGTCACATAAAATAGAATAGTTTGTTATTACAAATAGACAATACAACGCGATAAATAAATAAATAAATAAGTAGGATGTACACATTTTACATCTATCTTTATTGGATACAAAGACATTTACTAATAGACTCACGATTAAAATAACGTATTCGACGCAGGTTTATGAGGAAAAAATAAGACTGAAGACTGATTTATCATTAAAAAATTATCAACTTTAATTCATATTGGAACAACTTGTCATTTCTTACAAAAGAAAAGATTGAACTATTTCTCAATAGTAAATAGAACACATGAGGATTTAATTTTAATATTAATTATCTTTTGATTACTTTAACACAGAAAAATCTCATATATATCTTCTTATGGATCTGCATATATAAATATTGTCCACTTCCATACAGAAAATTAATTAATCATCAAAGTTATACAATGGATTTTTTTTTTCTAGATTCTTTAAAAGCTTTCACTTTCACTTTTTTTTAATGAAGATATCACCAGCTTTTTATATAGGAAGTGGTTGGCAGATAAGCAAATGGATCTTTCTTTTTCTTGTGTTCTTTGATATTTATTGATTCGATTAATTTAAAATTCACATTGTATATGATGTTCTAAAGGAAAAAAGGGATCGCTATTAAAGATTTTTTCATTTTCAGTGCATGAATTTGTGACCTTTAATTAAGAATTTCATTTATCTTATCGATCGTATCTTATTAACTCGAGCAATTCATATTTGTATCGTATAGGACACAATAAGAAAAGGAAGTCCTTATTAACTCAAGACACGAACCTGATCTTTAGTTAAAAATGAAAGATCTTATTTATCTCGTCATATCCTAGATGATTCTTTCAGCAGATTTAGTTTAAGTCATTTGTTATTTGTACCAGTTGATTCGAAAATTTAGATTCACACTATATATAGACACATTAACACAAGAAAGTATTCCCTAGGTATAAACCTAAAACCTCTAATTAAAGAGGAAGAAACATCATTTATTATCTCATCACACATCCAATTTTATATTCAAGCATGCATTTGTAAATAGGCCAAAAATGGTTGTGCCAATGTAGACTATCTATATTATACTTTCTTAAATCGTGTACTATCCTTTATCGACTTTATGATAAATACGAAATACTTTATACACCGATCTGTTTTTCACTCGAATGATTCCTTTAGATATTTTATCAAGTGGTGACAAATAAACATGCACCACCTTGTGCATGACTTTACAAGATATTTTGCACTTCAATTAGCACTATATGAAAGCTTTTTAGTAATGGTCAAAGTCTTGAGAGAAACGCTATTGCTTCTTTTTTTACTTTATGTAAGTCACAAGATGCATGCTATCCCATTTTGTTCTTTTTATTAGATTCGAAATAAATTATCTAATATAATAAATATTTTTTAAAAAAGAAATATAAAATTAAAATTATTAAACTTTGTCAAGTTCCTATAATTGATATTGTAAATCCCCCCGCCCCCCCTCGTAGGAAACTCTACACTATTGATACAAGTTTAGCATTATAGACACATGATGAAACAAAATGGTCAAGGTAACATATAGATGTTAGAAAAAAATATGTCGGAAAATTATATGGTGTACATAAATAAAATTTTGTAATATGCAATTGATTTGAAGGGGTATATAATTGACCCCTTTACCTAAAAATTATAGTGTTAGATATAAAAAAAAAAGTTGTGCAACACACAAACATACTTAGTTATTCTTCATTTTTTGAAGCTTTTTGTGTTATGTATAATCGTGCTCTATTAAATTGGGAAGAAATGTGTAATGAATCGAGCAATTGCTCATCAATTGTTTTGAATTTAGTACTCTAAAATGTAGAAGCATGTAAGTTAGTATTGATCGAGACCAAAAAAATAATAATTGTAAATTACTCGTTAGATATGAACAAAAAAATATCTAGATTCGTGATATATTAGAACTATCACAAAAACGAATTCATATTCACTACTTTTAAAAATAGTACTATATTTTTTTTTAACTTGGGACATATAGATATAACATCTTTTGGTGCCTCTCAAGGGTCACCATTATATATGTCAATTATATTAAAGTGTACTAACTATTGTCTTTGTCTTCATTAAGCTTGTTATAATCACACCTAACCCAATAACTTTCTACATTTTAAATTTCATATTCTTGACTTTGACAGGTAAATCTAATCATGTTTGTTTATTGGCCCAAATGTCCACTTCCTTCAATGAATTACCACCAATAGTTACTTTAATATAAATAGGATTTGCCACATTATTTAACAAGAAGTTACATATTCGAGACCTATGAATGAGAAATATCATGATAAAAAGTATTTTTCTTCTTAATAAACTTAAAATGGGACAAATCAGGATTAGTTGATACCCAAAGCGAATATCAGACATCAAACAAGAAATAAATAAAGGGAAAAAAGGCCATAACTAAATACAACCCTAACCAATTAGGATATTTGTCTTAGTAAGCATTGAAATATTTTTTCCAATAAACTTATCAAATTAAATGTGGGAAATTCATGACATATGAGAGACGAGACAAATTCATTATTTAAAATCTAAAAAGTTCTTTACACTGAACTTATTAAACTTTGAAATTATACATTTATAATATAAATAATTTATCTATGCTGTGAACCGAAATATTGTATTTGATTGACATAGCAAATAATGTAAGTTTACACTGCAAATAACCACTTTTTAGCTCCTATAATTAAAAATAGTCATTTTAATACATTTCCAAATTCCACAAATCAAATTCTTAGGAGATTATCATAGAATTTCACCCATGGAATTTAGTACTCCATAGCCAATGGCTATTATTTAAAAAATAATAATGTGGAAATGGCTATTTTTACAATAGAATTCCATTGGGCCACTCATGTTAACTTACTGAATTTCAGGCCTAGGGCCCAATAGGTCAACAAGGCATGATTGGGAATGGGTGGGTACGTAGGATTATGGCCCAACCCAATGAATTATAATTCGAATTTAAGTGATATACACTAATATATATATAAGGATTAATTAATAAAATCATGATTAGTAAGGTAAATATTATATTTTTATCAAGTGTTTTATTTTATGTATTGAGAATAAGATATAAGGTAAAGTTTAAAATATGTTCAATTCTTACACTAAATAAAATCGAAAGGTCGTTGATGATTGATTAGAGGGAAAATAAAAGATCAATTTTGTATTTTGGTGTTGAGTCCATGTATTTTCAAATCATGTTTTATTGGGAACAAAATAATATCCAATTGATGTATCAATTACGTTAAAGTACATGTTAAATAAGTTATTGTAACATTTTGAGAAAAATATATTGTCAAACGCATATAATTTAAATCATTTATTCTCCTATTTTCTTTTGTTGATTTTTCACTAAGTTCTTGAAAATACTCTAATTGCATGATAAACACGAATGAGTATCAAAATCTCAAATTTCGAATGTTAGATTATAACATGTCAAAAACAACTTCTTTATTGTATAACAGTAAGATTCACTCCTTCTCCAAACTTCTCTTATGTGATTATATTTGGATATGTTATTATTATTATTATTGTATTGAATTATGACATGTTACGTGTCAGGTAAACGCTTAGTCGCTCAATAATTCCATGTAAGCATTTCTTCTTTTCTTTCGTCTTTTCCTCCCAACTATTTTTTTTTCTTTTTCCCAACTATGTAGTCATCCCTATCAATTATATAATGGTGCTAAATGGATAAGAGTAAAGAATTCAAGTAATTAAAATAATACGAAAATAAATACGTGTATTTTCGTGTGGATTTAAATTCTTGGCTACCACTCCAAACAGATAAGAAGTATATTTTAAAGCATATATATATTTGGTCACCTAAGTTCACCAAAAATAGTAATTTCCTATCCATTTTTTTTTCTAGTCCAAACTATAACTATTGTATAAACATTGACCTTTTTGCCAAGGGCCTATGAATATTTTTTATTTTATTTTTTGTAATCTTAATATTTTTTGCCAGTCGAAAAAACCTTTGACTTGACTATCGAAGCCTAAGGGGGGAATTGCGGCAATCCCTTACGTAATAGTTTGTAATTATCGTGGGTATATACTCAATTCGATGTATAATAAATGTATATATACAATATACACATTGATTGTGTATAGATTATCCAGTGATTATCTATTGTATTTCCTTGCATACTGGGAAGGTAAAATATACGCATATCTTATACTAATTTTTTAGATAGAAAAGTTGTATTCAATAGATCATCAACTCGAAGGAAGTTATCAAAGCAGGATTAAAGGAAAACAATATTGATAACAAATTGAAATGACAAGATAAACAAAGTAAATGAAACAATAATAGTAATAAGAAATGAATAATGTATAAGATGCTGTGTGAACACTACTAATTAAGGAGAAGATGAGTAGAGGGTCAAGCCCCTGCCTCTCCTCATAAAAGTAGGATAATTAATGCTCGATTATCTGCTATTCTTCTATTCTAATTCACGACCTTCGTACTTTAACCTATATATCTAGGGTTCTCATGTTCTTAGTAAGGTGTAGATGAGCCATGTTATGTCTAATCATCTCCCCTTAGCTCTTTTTCGGCCTACCTCTAACTTTCCTAAAATCTGTTATGACCAAAATCACACCTCCTTACTAGTACATCCGCGCACCTCCTTTTTTACATATTCGAACCATCTCAGCCTTATTTCCTTCATTTTGTTCATCATAGAGACCACTTTTTGATT